TTTGTGCTACCCTAAAAAAATATCTGAGACTGAATAATCTATAAACAGAAACATATTACCCAACAGTTCTGAAGGCTAGGAAGTCCAAAGTAAAGAGATCAACAAATTCAGTATCTGGTAAGTCTTTGCTTCTAAGATGGCACATTGTTGCTCCACCCTCACATGGTAGAAAGAATTAGAAAGGAGAACACTGTGACTTTGCACAGCTGAAGGGCAAAGGGGACAGGCAGTTCTCTGAAGCATCTTTTATAAGAGCATAAATCTCATGACTTAATCACTTCTCCAAAGATCACCACCTCTTAATACCACCATCTTAGGGTTTAAGTGTCACATATGAATTTTGGAGGAACACATATATTCAAAATGTATAATTAGAGAAGACTGCATGGTTTTTCCAACTGGAATGAAGTAACATCTAAGTTTAAAGTCAGGAAGTGTTTGGGCAAAATTTTCTCAAATACAGAAAGCAGTATCAAAGACTATTTATTTACAGCATAATTGGCATAGCTATAGAGCAGTTTAATACCGGTCTTACCCTGCTTTGTTACTATACCAAAATATCAGAGACTAAATACTTTATGAAGAAAAGAGGTTTAGTTCGTAGCTCTGTAAGGTCCAAGGACATAGTGCCAACATTGGCTTCTGGTAAGGGCCTCATGATACATAATATCTCATGGTAAAGAGCAGGCCACACGCATGGTGGGGAGATATCACATGGTGAGAGAAGCTGCAAGAAAGAAGAAGCCCAACTTGCTTTATAACAACTCACTTTTGTGGTAACTGATCTAGTTCTACAATATCAAGAGCTCACTCCTATGAGAAAAAACATCCATCCCTCTTAATTACCTAATACCCTCAGAAAGACACCATATCCCAGTACCTTCACAATGGGGATCAAGCTTCTAGTACATGAACCTTTGAGGACAAACATATTCAAACCACAGCAATACATACCCTAAGCATTTTTTTTTTTTCAGGAGTGAGCTGAACAGAAATGGGTAGAAAAAAAGCAAGGCAATCATCTCTTAGCAGAGAAACTCTATAGAGGTACAGGTCTATCCAGTTCAAAGGATATCCACARCAAAATTTTTCTTCTCAAAAAAGGAGGCAGGGTGCAGGATTTTGCTAATTCAAAAAGATCCTTTCCAAATGAGTACATACAGTCCCAGCCCCAAAGGATGTAATCTCCTTAAAGAGATAAATGGGAAAATGCCTTCAACCATCAGCATTCATTTCTATTAGTCTTCATTTCTCTCTTTCTTTTTAAAATGTTTTATTTATCTGTTTATTTATTTTTATGTGGTGCTGAGGATCAAACCCAGGGCTACTGCTGAGCCACACCCCCAGCCCTCTATCTTAATCTCTGAATTTGTCTTTTGGCCATTATCTGATGGTGTGTAGAAAGCTGACTGCCATACATTGATAAGGCATCCATCTAACCAGTGCACCTTGCTCATCCATTTTAATCAAACATATAGTAACTATGTTAACATATGGTAAATATTATTTATCCTGATCTTTTTTTTTTTTTTTTTTTTGGTGTTACTGAGGATTGAACCTAGAGCCTTGCATATGTGAGGCGATTGTTTTACCACTGAGCTAAATATATGCTCGGCCCTTTTTAAAATTTTGAGACAGGGCCTTGCCAATTTACCCAGGCTAGCCTTAAACTTGTGATCCTTCTGCCTCAGCTGCCTAAGTGGCTGGTATTACAGGCTTGTGACATTATACCGAGTTCCATCGGTTCTTTTATGAACTGTTCATTAAGAAGTGCCAGCATTTTGTCCATGGTTTCCTGGTCAACTATTTTTCTCTTAGTCTAATAGTATTGATTTACTACCTCTTTCCCAAATTTAAAATTTGCTTTTTTTTTTAATATATCTTGTTGAATTATGTTGTTTATATGACCACACCATCCTAGGCTTTATTATATATTCTATTTTCCAAATCTTACTCTGAAATCTCACTTTTCCAAGTTCCCTACAATCTTACCTTATTTTTACTACTCCCAAACATGGATCAAAAGTACAAGTCAAGCTGATCACAGCCCTTAATATAAGCCATAACAATTCTTACGTCTGTACCTATTCTCTTCCCTGAATGATATGCCGGTCACTGCTCTCCTCCAAATTTTATCTGTTCATCAAGGTTCAGCTTAAGTTACTTCATAAATCTACTTTAATACTCTCAATCCCACTGCTTACTACTTTCTCTAAAAGTGGGCAGCATTGCATTTCCTTGAAACATTTAGAGTTTAATTATATGGGTCTTCAACAATTTCTATAAATGTTATGCTGTGTGGTCCGTAAGGTAGGGACTATTATTTACACAGCTCTTGCCTTTGTACAAAAATTGAAAGAGCAGTAGGAAATGAAGATTATTGTCCTGACTTGGCACTGAGGAAACAAGCTACTCCTCAGTAACTCTCTGATATTCACTCTATTTTTCTCATAGCATAAACAGTACTAGGTAAATGGAAGGCTACCAAGACATCTTGAAGACCATTATCTATTATAGTTTGTAGATTAGTAGTCTGTCAATAAGAGGAAAATGRGGCCAGGCACCTGTAATCCCAGCAGTTTAGGAGACTGAGGCAGGATTGTGGGTTCAAAGCCAGCCTCAGCAATTTAGTAAGGCTCTAAGCAACTTGATGAGACACAGTCTCTAAATAAAATATAAAAAAGGGCTGGGGATGTGGTTCAGTAGTTATGCACCCCCGGGTTCAATCTCCAGTACCAAACCAAACTAAACAAAAAAAAAAAAAAAAGGAAAATATGCACCTCAGTGCTTCATATTGTCCACTGCACATTGACTTTTCACTTTTATAAACTTTACGTGAGTATCATTCTATAAAAATAAATGTTAACATCAACTCTTAAGAAAAAAATTGTGACTGATTACAACTTACAGGCCAGTAATAAGGGATGTTAGTGGGTAGTAAAAAAATTCTCTGTACAGTCTCACTTATCAATTTGTCACAGTGCTACTGCATTGGTAAAGTGAGGCAACCACAATTAAGGTGGGGGGATGATTATAGAGCATAATTCAAAACCAATGCATAAAAATGACAGATTTTGAATAAAATGAATATTTAATATTTGATCAAATTTAAAATAAATAACTCTTGCTTCAGCCAATTTYGTAACTTAATACACTATAAAATGCTTACAAAACTTCTGATTTGCTGATTAAATTATATAAAATACAATTTAGGTTGTAAGCAGTGATGCAAGCCTCTAACCCTAGCAACTTGGAAGGCTGAGGATTGCAAGTTCAAGACCAGCCTTAGTAATTTAGCAATGTCTTAGGGAGACCCTGTCTCAAAATAAAAAATTAAAAGGGATGGGGATGTGGCTCAGAGGTTAAGCACCTCTGGGTTCAATTACCAGTACCACCTCTTCAAGTACAATTTAAAAGCTCTTTTTAATTCTTTAGCACCAGTGGACACTAATGATAACATCATTCTGAACCTAGATTTGCATCAACCTTAAGTTTAATTGATAGAGATCAGTTTGATAGGGGAAGAAAAAAAGAGCACTTTCTGGGTGGAAACTATCTCCCAGAAAACCCTAAATTGGTGAATAATACTCAACCACATCAGTATCATATTTAGAGAAATAGGAAGGTATGGAGGAAGTGTTTTAAGTTTCCTCCAGACCCCAAGCAAAAATGCCAGCAATTGAAAGCATCCTAAAAAACACTTAGTAGAAAGAACTTCACATTTTAACAAAATTAATAATGACTTGTGTTCATAAATGTCCATCTAGTCCAGAATATAAGTACAATCTTGTATATAAGAGGGAAATAAAGTGAGACTTTAAAAGATCCCACTAGAACAATCACTAATAACATGGTGCAGTTACAGTACTGATCATCATAGTTATTCATAGCTGTTACAGTACAACTACACAGATATAGGTCATTGTTACACAACTTTATTAGGAATTCAGTACCGTCAAAACATTTCTATAAGAGGTCAATATAATAATCTTTTATTGATCTAGGAATTCTGGCACTGAAAGTGTGAATAACCCAAAGTAATGATGTCGTCACCAAGGGACAAGAATAGAACCCAAATCCCTTGACTCCCAAGCTGTGTTTTCCATTAATTGTGCTCCTTTCTACTCATCTGAGAGCATCAAGTATAAAGGGTTAGGGAAAGGAGTGGACACAAATGAGCCAAATCTGTGAGGTGGAGACTGCACTGAAGTCCTAAGGAATCGCCATTTGACACTTTCCTTTTGTTTTGGCTGAGCAAGATGAAAGCAGCAACCACAAACCCCTGGGACCAAGAACTGGAACTAGGTACTGCCTGTTGTGGTTTAACTCTCTCTTTCTCCAGTGAGGCCTTTCCTCTTTAACCTCTCTTCCGGCCAAGCCCTAGTGCTCTCTTCACCCCCCTGGTCTTGATCCTCTCTTCTTCAGTCTCACTCTGCACGTTACAGCTAGGTGTCCCTGTAAGGGTTGGCAAGGGCGCCTCGCTCGTCCTTCAGTCCTTTAAGCGTCCGGAGGGTTCGAAGCGCCGCCGGAGTTTCCCTAGATAATGAATGGTAGTCAAGCACTGTAAACGTGTTTCAACTGTTAGAGGAACTTCGGAGGTGGGAACCGGGGAACTGTCTGCTCTGCGTGGGTCTAGGCAGCCCGTCAGGACAAAGCGAAATTTAGACTATAAGCACAGAGCTTCCCTCTAGCCGGGAGCTTCCCCCAGCTCAGCGATTCCCTGGGCAACCTCCCACTGGAGGACGCCTGCAGGAGCGCGCTGTTTACACCTTCCCTAGACCAGGAGGAGGAAAGCAGCCCTCGCGGACCCGGGGGGAATTCCAAACCGTTACTCCGCCCGCTGGGGTGGGGCCACCCCAACGGCCGAGCATGCGCGCTAAGCCAGCCGGCTCCAGGACACTACAAGTCCCACAAGGCAACGCTCCGCGTGGGCGGGCGTCTGCCTTAGCCGCCGCAAGCTTATTCCTCTAGCTACTACCGCTCTCCGGCCGCCGCCGCCCCCCAACCCCCTGGCCCCATCTAGTCCCTTCCCACGCTAAAGGCTACTTCCTCTTGAGGCAAACGGGAAGCCTTAACAATCTCAATACCGAAGCTCCTGGCTCCGCTTGCCTCTGCCTGGACTATGCCTGACTCTCTCATCAGAGAAGGGTGGTGGAGGCGCGAGAAGGGAGCTCTCGCAGGGCAAAGTGGGGCAAACCGGCCACACTTCCGTCTTCTGGGCTCCGGAAGGTAGCGCGCACGCGCTCGTTGCGACTTCGGCTCGGTTGACTTCCGCTCCCACTGTGCCCTGCGAGCCGAATCATGGATCACACTGGTAAGGAGGCGGAGGCAGTGGGGGTCCCAGTTTCATGCCCCCTTGGCTAGTCTGGGACTGGTCGTCCAGCTGGCAAAAGGGGTTACGCTTGCCCCACAGCACTGGGGTGTGGCGGTGAGGAAGAAATCTCATAGACCCTCTTCCCGTGCCCCGCAGGGCCTGCTGCTTCTCGGCCTACCCTCCGGTGCGGTACCTCCATCCTCGGTGCCGGCAACAACCGCTTCTGTGTCTGGTTTTGCTGAGCTCCCAGCTGGGACAGTGGGTGGCGTAGGCTTCCTGGCAAGGGGAGAGCGCCGTATCTTTTTATTTATTTAAACTCAACCCAGTTGCTCTGCCCTAGGTTATGGGGTACTGGTGGGTGGATACCAGCGGTGATTGAAGTCTCCTTGCTCTGGTAGTTAGTTGAAGACTTCCTGCTCTCAGCTTTAGGCGGGTGCTGCAGTTATTTCTTGTTTGTCTCTTCGGTCCATCATGGACTAGAGGTTACAGAAGGGAGTCGGATATAGTTTTCCAATTCATAAACAGAGCAGCTAGAAATTTCTACCTAAGCCCAAAGCATGCCTATGCTTCGGCTGTGGTCTTTTCTGATCATCAGTTGAGGCCACTTATATAGGAACACAAAAGATCAAGACATTCTCATCCCTTTCGCCAAGGGTAGCTCCACCTCTTGTTAGGTGTTATGTGCTTCGCGCTTTCTTGTGGTTCTTGGATGTTGAATGAGGCACTTGAAGTTAGTAAGTGCTTCAGTTACATCGATCATAGTACACGTAGGGGGAATAGACTTTTTCTTAAGCATTGGTCTGAATGTTCTCAATCATCAGCTACATATTTATTGAGTGTGTGTACATACATGTTTATTTATGCCGGATATGTCTAGATACTTGCAGGCTTGAAGATGGAATGACGGAAGGGTTAACAATAGAACTGGGTTCTTTTCCTCGTGGACATTACATACTGCTGGGGAAGACAGACAGTCACACACATTCTCATTCCCCCCCCACCCCCATATATATATAAAACTCGTTTACAGATTATTACAGATTGTGGTGAATGCCTTCAAGGAAAACAAATGCTGTGGAGTAGGAAGTTTCAGAGAGAATGGGCAGGGAAGGTCTTCTGGGAAAGGTTAGTAGTTGAGACTCATGTATAAGAAGAATCTAGCCATGAAATAAAACAGAAGGAACATTTTCAGCAAGTTCAAAGACTCCAGGATAGGAAAATGGAGAGAATGCCAGTTGGTTGTGGCCTAGTTGGCAAGGGAAAAAGAGCCCTAAGTTGAGGTTGCAGAGTAAGTCTAAGTCACCACCTTCAGGACTTTGAAAGGAACATTAAAGAGTTTAATTTTAGTTTGAGTGAATATGAAGTCTCTGAATAGAAGTAAAAGAAGGAACATAGTCTTACATATATAATGGACTGTTTTGTGGAAGTCAAGAATAATAGAAAATAGACAATTTAGGAGGTCATTGTAGTAGACCAGAAGGGAGGCTTGGTTTAGTGAAAATGAAGTGATGGAGTACTTGCCTAACATGCAGTTTACAAGGCTCTGGTTTGAATCCCCTGCTCCACCACCACTACGACAACAAAAGGTGGAGAGAGGTGGGATGAGGGGCGAGAAAGGGCAGATGCAATAAATGTTTTGGTGGTAGAGCTCAAGCACCTTCTAATGAATTGATTTGGGGGTATGGGAGAGAAATGCCTGGGCTTCTGGTTTCAGTGAAAGTTAGGAATTTGGGAACAAGAATTTGGTTTTGGACTGCTGGGTATGAGATGTATATTGATATAGGATGGGCGATACCAAATGGAGCTCAGAGGAAAGATATGAACCAAAAATATATATTTGGGAGTTAATACCTTATAGTTGATCTCTTTAAAGCATGAGCAYGGGAGAGATCATTTAGTGAGAGGCATATAGAAAAGAAGAGGGCCTAGAACCAGGCTTTAAGGAATTCCAGAGTTTGGAAAATATATAGAGTTGAAACTCTGGAGTCTTGAGGGTAGGGTAACAAATGTGGAATTTTAGTTTCTCCTTTATCCTGTTATCGGAACTGGGAGTGAAGTCCCTTTTACAGTTTAGAAGTTGTTATATTAGGAAATCTGAAAATGGATGGGTGTGTAAGAGGCTTTTATTATCCTAATTTTAAACTTTTAAGTTAAAAGGTTGCATGGGAAATAAAAGTTAATTTCTTTGTGAGACCTTCTCCTTAATGTTTCATATCAGAAGACAGTACCAGTTGCTATACACTGAGGAAGAAACTTTTGTGAAAGTTTCAGATTTCAAAGTTCATAAACATGAATTTGATGACAATCACAAATAAGCCATTGACAAATGAGGAAATGCTGTTAGCTAGTTAATTGAAGACATCATGACAGAATAGGCATCTTGAGAATGATTTTAATATCAAAGGATCTCTTTGGAAAAATTGGTGAAACCCTTGAATATTAGTGCAAAAATGACCCATTGTATATATGGTCATGTGTAAAATTGAAATGTAAAATGAAGTGTTTTAAGGAGAAAAAATTTTTCATGAAACAGTTAACACTTGATTCATTCTTTGGTCGCTCATATGCATTGTTGAATTAGCACCTTTGTAATGTAACCTAAATTTTGTAAAATATTTCTTTGTTCCTTTTATTCAAGATAAAAATCCTAAACCTTTTTAAGCTACATAATAAAAAGTGCTGTTTCTTGTAAGGTGAATTCACCATAAATGGCCAGTTATCCTTAGTTTTCTCTTTGAGTAATATCCAAGGACTTTGTTACTATGGACAGTATGTTTAGATATTATATTCAAAAGGAAATTGTATTGTATGTTTTGATCCTTAATTTTAAAAAGATACAACCCCCCAAAAAAGTTCCTCAAACAATCCCAGATTGTTGTCACTGTGAAGTGTTCTACTTTATAACTTGAAATTTGTGAAGCAAACAGCAAAGTTTTAAGGGGCAGCAGGCTCTTGCACATGGCAAGCTGGCTATGTGATCAACAATAAGAGACCTCACGTGTTCAGGGTGGTGTGAAAAGAACTTGTAATGAAGTGTTGGTATTTTCATTCACAAAGGTAAAACCCTTAAGAATACTTTTGATAGCTGAAAGACAATATTAGCTCTTTTTTAATAATTGTAAAGTCAGGAATACTTTTTAAGAAAAATGTTATTTAGAAATATCTGCCTTTTGGGCTGGGGATGTGGCTCAAGTGATAGTGCGCCAGCCTGGCATGCGTGCGGCCCGAGTTCGATCCTCAGCACCACATACAAACAAAGATGTTGTGTCCACCGAGAACTAAAAAATAAATATTAAAAATTCTCTCTCTCTCTCTCTCTCTCTCTCTCTCTCTCCCTCTCCCCTCTCTCTCCTCTCTCACTCTCTATTTAAAAAAAAAAAAGAAATATCTGCCTTTTGGCTGTTGCATTGCTTTATTTATTGACATAAATAAGCAAATGCATTGAAAATGAATGAAATACATTAATCAGCTTGTTAGTTCATTTAGTGAAATGTTGAAAATTGACAAAGTTGGAAAAGTTGAATTTATTCTAATTCAAGAGTTTAACTAACCATGTAATCCCTTTTTCATATCCCCCTACAAGATTACCTGTTAAAAAAGTAGAAAGTAGACTGAAAAAATTCAAAATAATCATTCAGGACCTATTTTAACACAAAAAGTATACATGTAATACAGCCTTGGAGGTCATTGGTACTGTTACTACTTTTGTCTTTACTCATAATTAATATGGACAGTTTATTTATTTGTTTTGATTGTAATATTGTTTGCAGGGGCAGTTATACAACTTTGTTCAATAACTTATGTTTAAAACATAATTTAAAATTTTTGTTTCTTTGTATTTCTCATTTTAGAGCATTTTCCTTTTGACTCTAGGTAAAGTTGATTATTTTCTGTGTTATAATATCTTTTCATTTACTTGAACAAAGGTAACTCTTTAAGCTCTACATGAGTTGGTTCTATGAAATAATAATGGATCATAAGTTAATTTGTTTCATAGATGATAACAAGCAGAGGTGTCATTTGTTTAGACTTAGATGGAGTTAGAAACCTTGCATCCTCCTAGATTATAATTTTCCAATACAGTGCTAAGAATAACTCAGTGTATCTCTAGAAATGTTGTAGTACAAATTATTGCATGTTTCTGTTATTACAGGGTATAATAAATTTTTACTTTATCGCTCAACCCTTTTTAGAAGAACCATTTTAGGCTGAAGGAAATAATCTCTTTAAAACTGACTTCATTTTCAGATGCATTATTTAATTTTGCCTTCATCAGGGTTATTTTTTTTTTTTTTCAGTTTTATTGGTTACCCTAATGTAAACTTAGCAACTTTATTGACTGTCTACGTGGCAAGCTTGACAGGAGATAGGGATGGCTTTGTTTCTTTTCCTTTTTAATTTTTTTTTAAATTCTCATAGTTACTTTTTTAAAAAAAATATTTAATTTGTTTTACATGACAGCAGAATGCATTTGAATTCATAGTACACATAGAGCACAATTTTTCATATCTCTGGTTGTACACAAAGTAGAGTCACACCATTTGTGTCTTCATACATGTACTTAGGGTAATAATGTCCATCTCATTCCATCATCTTTCCTACCCCCAGTCCCCCTCCCTTTCCTTCCCTCCCTTTGTCCTAATCAAAGTTCCTCTATTCCTTCCATGCTCCCCCCCACCCCCATTATGGATCAGCATCCACATAGCAGAGAAAACATTTGACATGATATATCTTCTCCAACTCCATCCATTTAGCAGCAAATGACATGACTTTATTCTCTCTTAATGCTGAGTAATATTCCATTGTGTATATATACCACAGTTTATTTATCCATCTATTGAAGGGCATCTAGGTTGGTTCCACAATTTAGCTTTTGTGAATTGTGCTGCTATAAACATTGGTGTGGTTGTGTCACTATAGTATGCTGTTTTTAAGTCCTTTGGGTATAAACCAAGGAATGGGATAGCTGGGTCAATTGGTAGTTCCATTCCAAGTTTTCTAAGGAGTCTCCATACTGCTTTCCAGATTGGACCAATTTGCAATCCCACCAGTAATGTATGAGTATGCCTTTTTTTCCACATTCTTGTCAACATTTATTGTTGTTTAAATTCTTAATAGGTGCCATTCTGACTGGAGTTAGATGAAATCTTAGAGTAGTTTTGATTTGCATTTCTCTAATTGCTAGAGATGTTGAACATTTTATCATATATTTGTTGATTGATTGCATATCATCTTCTGAGAAGTGTCTGTTCAGCTCCTTAGCCCATTTATTGATTGGATTATTATTATTATTATTTTTGGGGTGTTAAGTTTTTTGAGTTCCTTATATATTCTAGAGATTAGTGCTCTATCTGATGTGTGTGTGCTAAAAATTTGCTCCCATTTTGTAGGCTCTCTCTTCACCTCACTGATTGTTTCTTTTGCTGAGAGGAAGCTTTTCAATTTGAATTCAGCCCATTTATTGTTTTTGGATTTTATTTCTTGTGCTATAGGAGTCTTGTTAAGGAAGTCTGGGCCTAATCCAACATGATAAAGACTTGGGCCTACTTTTTCTTCTGTTAGGCGCAGGGTCTCTGTACTAATTCCTAGGTCCTTGATGCATTTTGAGTTGAGTTTTGTGTGTGGTGAGAGGGGTTTATTTTCATTTTGCTGCATGTGGATTTTCAGTTTTCCCAGCACTATCTGTTGAAGAGGCTATCTTTTCTTCAATATAAGTTTTTGGCACCTTTTTCTAGTGTGAGATAACTGTATTTATGTGGGTTTGTCTCTGTGTCCTGTATTCTGTACCATTGTTCTACAAGTCTATTTTGGTGCCAATACCATGCCTTTTTTGTTACTATTACTCTGTAGTATAGTTTAAGGTCTGGTATAGTGATGCCACCTGCTTCATTCTTCTTGCTAAGGATTCCTTTGGCTATTCTGGGTCTCTTATTTTTCCAGATGAATTTCATGACTTCTTTTTCTATGAGAAATGTATTGGGATTTCAATTGGAATTGCATTAAATCTGTATAGTACTTTTGGTAATGGTCATTTTGACAATATTAATTCTGCCTATCCAAGAACAAGGGAGATATTTCTATCTTCTAAGGTCTTCTTCAATTTCTTTCTTTAGTGTTCTGTAGTTTTCATTGTAGAGGCCTTTCACCTCTTTTGTTAAGTTGATTCCCACGTATTTTAGGGTTTTTTTTTTTTGAGGCTATTGTAAATGGGGTAATTTTCCTAGTTTCTCTTTCAGAGGCTTTGTCACTATACAGGAATGCCTTTGATTTATTGGTGTTGATTTTTATATCTTGCTACTTTGCTGAATTCATTTATTAGTTCTAGAGGTATTCTGGTGGAATTTTTTGGATCCTCTAGGTATAGAATCATGTCATCAGCAAATAGTGATAGTTTGAGTTCTTCTTTTCCCATCCATATCCCTTTAATTTCTTCCATCTGTATAATTGCTCTGGCTAGGTTTTCAAGAACTATGTTAAATAGAAGTGGTGAAAGAGGGCATCCCTGACTTGTTCCAGTTTTTAGAAGGAATGCTTTCAATTTTTCTCCATTTAGAATGATGTTCGCCTGGGGCTTAGCATAGATAGCTTTTACAATGTTGAGATATGGTCCTCTTATCTCTAGTTTTTCTAATGTTTTGAACATAAAGGGGTACTGTATTTGTCAAATGCTTTTTCTGCATCTCTTGAGATGATCATATGATTCTTTAGATATATTGATGTGATGAATTACATTTATTGATTTCTATATGTTGAATCAACCTTGTATCCCTTGGATAAACCCCACTTAATCATGGTGCACTATCTTTTTAATATGTTTTTGTATTTGATTTGCCAGAATTTTACTAAGAATTTTTGCATCTATGTTTATTAGAGATATCGGTCTGAAATTTTCTTTTTTTGATGTGTCTTTGTCTGGTTTTGGAATCAGGCCTTTGATACTGGCCTCATTGAATGAGTTTGGAAGTGTTCCCTCTTTTTCTGTGTCATAGAATAATTTGAGGAGTGTTGGTTTTAGTTCTTCTTTGAAGGTCTTGTAGAACTCAGCTGTGTATCCATCTGGACCTGGGCTTTTCTTGGTTGATAGGCTTCTGATGGCGTCGCGTCTTCTATTTCATTGCTTGAAATTGATCTGTTTAACTTGTGTATATTGTCCTTATTCAGTTTAGGAAAATCATATGATTCTAGAAATTTGTCTTTGATATTTTGTATTTTATTGGAGTATAAATTTCAAAATAATTTCTAATTATTTTCTGTATTTCTGTAGTTTCTATTGTGATATTTCCTTTTTCATCACAAATTTTAGTAATTTGAGTTTTCTCTCTCCTTCTCTTCATTAGCATGGCTAAGGGTTTATCAATTTTATTTATTTGTTTCAAAGAACCAAGTTTTTGTTTTGTCAGTTTTTTTCAATTATTTCAATTTCATTGATTTCAGCTCTAATTTTAATTATTTCCTATTTTCTACTGTTTTGGGTGTTGATTTGTTGTTCTTTTTTCTAGGGCTTTGAGGTGTATTGTTATGTTATTTATTTGTTGACTTTTTCTTCTTTTAAGGAATGAACTCCATGCAATAAACTTTCCTCTTAGTACTGCCTTCATAGTGTCCCAGAGATTTTGATATGTTGTATCAGTGTTCTCATTTACCTCTAAGAAATTCTTATAGTTTAAGACAGAGGTTCTTATCTTGGGTTCATGAAGTTTTTTATTTTTCTGTAAACTGTGGAATTAGTGAAAATTTTTATTGTTCACTTCTCTAAGAGAGATAAAAGTACTATAGCTTTGTCAGTTTCTAATAGGGTTTCATGTCTCAAAAAGCGTTGCTTTAAAAGTTTATCTAAAATAAAGAAAATTAGCAGTAAATTTGTGTTAGTGTAATATTTAAAATCAGGACTAATATTGTTAACCCTTGATAATGTTGGTTATGTTGTTTTAATACTTGAGATGAAATAATCTTCAAAAAGAAAAACTGAAAGAAATTAAATTTTTTTTTTCCTCTAACATAGACAATGAGTTACAAGGCACTAATAGTTCTGGATCATTGGGTGGTCTTGATGTTCGCAGACGAATTCCTATAAAACTCATCTCCAAACAAGCAAACAAAGCCAAACCTGCACCTCGAACTCAAAGGACTATAAACAGGATGCCTGCAAAGGCTCCACCTGGTGATGAAGGTAATTTGTTTAAACTAATATGTTCAATAGTCTTTTTGTTTATCTCATTGCACCATACGTCTGTGATCTTATTTACTTATGGCTACTTTAATCTTACATGCTCTTTTCAGCCTTTTTATTTCATTTTGATGTATTTTATATTTTTTTCTCCCTTTATAAGTTTCCCCTTTAAAAATAAACCTAAATGGTATTCCAGAAAGCATAGCATAAGTAAAATAGCTCCCTCTATAATCCTTCTTTCCAAAGATAATCTTACTAAGACTTTTGTACAGAAGTACAGTTTTTTCCTAGGTAGTTTTTCATGTAAAGTGCATTTGAAATTTTGCCTTATCAGTACATTCAGATGTACATAATTWAAAAAAAATTGGTTTGGACAGTGGCTCAGGAGGCAGAGGCAGGAGGAATGTAAGTTCAAAGCTAGCCTCAACAATTTAGTGAGGCCCTAAGCAACTCATCAAGACCCTGTTTCTAAATAAATATATGAAAGGGCTGGGGATATGGCTTAGTGGTAAAGTGCCCCTGGGTTCAATTCTTGGTACCAAAAATAGAAAAAAGAAATAGGTTTGGATATTTCATTTATGATATACCATAATTTATTTAGCAAGTTTTTTTCCTCTAATAATAGTACAGCAAATATCCTTGTGTATATGGCTTAATATGATTATTTTGTAAAATTTATACTTTGCAAAAACTTTGGACATTTAAAAACTTGATGATAATGTACATTTTAGAATTTGTCAGATATTGTCAAATTGCTTTTCACAAAGGTACATTAGCTTATATTCCCACACATCGATTTCTGGTATTATTAACTTATTTTTTTTCTTTTCATATATATTTCTTTCATTATATGTAAGGTTTTATATTTTATATATATCTTTTCATAGTATATCTTTTCATAGTATTGGTCATTTCTTTTGCCTAGGTTTTTTCCCATTCATATTCTTTTCCAGTTTTTCTGTTTGGCAGTCTTTTCTCCAATTTTTATAAATTAATGCAATTAGCCATTTGTTATATATTGTCTGTATTCTCCACTTGTCTTTTGAATTTTATTTGAATAAAATTTTTTTTTTTTTTTTTTAGAGAGAGGAGAGGGAGGGAGAGAGAGAGAGAGAATTTTATTTATTTATTTATTTTAGTTCTTGGAGGACACAACACCTTTGTTGGTATGTGGTGCTGAGGATCGAACCCGGGCCGCACGCATGCCAGGCGAGCGCGCTACCGCTTGAGCCACATCCCCAGCCCATGAATAAAATTTTTATTTGTAAAGATCTTGAAGACTCTGTAGCCAGATAATTAGTCTTGCTCTTAGGACTTTTGGGTTTTAAGAGATTCTTTAAATGGAATTCCTTATTCCATGAATATAAGTTTTCCTATTTTACTATTTAGTGGAGGTCAGTAAACTGGCCAGTGGGCCAAATCTGGCCCTGTTTTTATAAATAAAGTTTACAACACAACCATGATTGTTCATGTAAGTTTTATTGGTGGCTGTTTTGCTTTCCGCTATAATGGCAGAGCTGAGTATTTGTGATAGAGACAATATGGCCCACAAACTCTAAAATATTTATTGTCTGGGTTTTTACAGAAAAAGTTTGCTAACCCCTGTTTGGGACATTTATGGATATGAGTTTAGTTGTGGTTGTTGATGTTGTTGTTATTTTAATTTTTTTGGTACCAGGATTGAACCCAGGGCACTTTACCATAAGCAATATCCCTAGGGCCCCCCCACTTGTGTTTTTTTTGTTTTKTTTTTTTTAATTTTGAGAGAGGATCTCACTAAGTTGCTTAGGGCGTTGCTAAATGGCTCAGGTTAGCCTCAAACTTAAGCCTCACAAATTGCTCTGATTATAGATGTGTGTCACCATTCTCTGTGCTAGTTTATTAAAAACAAGCAAATGAAAAGCCTAACAGAAAGTGAGGTCTTACTTATTTTTCTCCATAGCAGCTAGCCATTTTGCCAACCATTTACTAGTCTATATATATATATWTWTWTTTTTTTTTTTTTTTGCTGACTAGGAATCTTGCCATTAACATATGTTAAAGTTCTTAAAGTAGGTATATTTCTAGATTTTCTATTGTATTCTAGCAATCTGACTGTATATTATTATTATTATTTTTTAAAGTATCAGTCTGCTTTAGTTACCTTATAAAATGGTTCCTTTTACCATAGGGTTTCTCTTCTGCCTAAAGAAGTCTACTTGAAGTTGAAACATGGTAAATCGTGGTGTTAAAGCTGGGGTTTGGTTAAATGGTAGAACATATTTAGCATATTCAAGGTCCTAGGTTGGAATCCTAGCACCATTAAAATCAATGAAAAATCACAATAGTTACAGCCTAGGGCAGCTACTCTACTATATAGGCTCCCCTTCCCCCCTTTTTTTGTTAAGTAATATTTTAAACTAAACATGATGTACAATAGCTCTGTCTTAATAATAGTCCAAACAATGCAAAAAAAAAAAAAATGCGCTCATGTTTCCTCTTAGGTATGGCCTCACTCAACCTCAATCCTACAGCTCTTTCTAGAGGGAATTATTGTTACAAGTCTCTCTTAATAGTATTAACTTAGGTTGAAGGTAATTATTGGATATTTAGGTTCACTTATTTGGTATTCTTAAGAAATTATTTTTCCCCCTAAGTCATTGATCAAAATAGTGAGTTTTGGGTGCCAGTATATTATCTGCACAGATATATAATTTAATGATAGGATTACTGGTTAAGCCACTCTGAAAAATTTTTATATATTTCTCATTTCGTTGGTCATTCATCTTGGTAATTTTCTGGGTTTCCAGCAAAGATTTTCTTTATTTTGAATTTTAAATGACCCCAGCTTTTATGAGGTGTAAATGGCCATCCAAGAGCTTGGGTATAAATGATAAGAAAACCCTGACTTTGAACTATACATTTGTGTTAGAGGTAATTAAATAGTATATTGGAGTATTCACAAAACTCTTGCGTCACTGTGTGTGCGCGCGCACATGTGTGTGTGCGCCTGTCCATCCATCTGTCCATAGGTGCTGGTATTTAGCTATGTGGGTAAGATTAAAAGTGTTTTGGCTACTTTGTTTACCAGTTCCAGGGCTAAAAGAATCATGAGAAGCTTTGAAGGAGGGATATATTTGTCTTCTCAGCTTTACTTTAGGAAATTGGATTCTACCTAGAATTTCCATCAGACTATTCATTGGTTTTCTGTGCTTTTGTATGAGATGAAAGGATTGAGAGGAATGCTATCTCAACTTTTTAATTAGGCGAGAGAAGGTGAGACTATTTGATCTTTTTATTGTCTCAAGTCTCAAGTTTATAGATAATAATCATACAGCTCCTGCTATTTGGGTGATTAACCAGGGAGAGGTTTTAATTGAAAGGATGAAGTATGAATATGTTGATTCTAAAGTCATGCCCAGTGTGTGGGTAAGAAGGATTCCTAAGAAAATCTTCAGAAGAGAAATCTTACGTGACTGCATGACCAATATAATTCTGCAACCTGTACACTCAGAAAAATGAGAAATTATATTCCATCTGATTCAAATGTGTGATATGTTAAGATCATTGTACTGTCATGTGCAATTAATTAAAACAAATTAAAAAATAAAAAAACAAAGAAAAATCTTGTCATAGAAAATCTTCAGAATTTGCTCTTTTTCATTATGTTCTTTTGGCAATAAAATCAGTTTCTTGCAGCCTWGTATCTACTTTTGTAGATATTAGAATAAATATGATATCTTAAAATATTATGCAGCAAGCATGATGGTTATAATTGATAAGAGCACTTGAATGGGAGTCGAGATTGATTTTGCTGTTAATTACACCCCTGCCCTGTGGGCCCCCCCCCATACACAAGATGGAACCCAGGGGCACTCTACCACTTATTTACATCCTTAGTCCTTTTGAGGGTCTTGCTAGGTTGTTGGAGTTAGCCTTGAACTTATTCTGTTTCAGCCTCCCTGGTAGCTGGAATTACAGGTGTGTTGCACCATGCCTAGCTCTGCCACTAATCTTGTATGTTGAATTATTGAGTATTCTGCAGTCAATTATAAAGTAATAGGATGGACTATGTGATCATTTTTACCTGGTGTTTTAAACTAGTCTTAATTACCTTATTTTTAGAAGAACTTTGAAAGACATAAGATGGACTTTTTAGTAAATAGGCCTATTTTGATTTAAGATTTGAAAAGTAAATGGGTAACGTTCTTTTTTCCTCAGAAGGATTTGATTATAATGAAGAAGAGCGGTATGACTGTAAAGGGGGCGAACTGTTTGGAAATCAGCGAAGATTTCCTGGACACCTTTTTTGGGACTTTAAGGTATAATTAAAAATAAATTATTAAGTATTAAATAATTGAAATGCATAATATGTGAAGAATGTTATGAATTTTTAATATCCGTGACTTTTTCATCATACACAAATCATTTGCTTATTAATGCCAGGTTTCTGTTATTTTCAAAAGTAATTTGAGGTGATGTTCATTGAAGTCAAATAAGATCAATAACCACTATTTAAGAAGAAAAACAAACTAATGGTGGGTAATATGTGAGGATTAAACTAATAAACCTCTATTTCTAATTGTTATAACAATGTTTATAAAATTCTAACCATACCACTGTGAATTCTAAAATTTTTAGAATTGCATAAGAAGAAAATTTTAATTATATCATTTCAACAGATCAACATCTTAGGTGAAAAGGATGATACACCAGTTCATTTCTGTGACAAATGTGGATTGCCTATTAAAATCTATGGACGAATGGTAAGTGTAATTAACTTAAATTCTGTTTTTGTGAATGTAAGCATTTGTGTAGAGATAGAATTCTGAAAAATTTAAGTAGACAAGAGTTTTTCATTCTTTAATAACTATGTTTGTAACATTTAAGTATGAAATATGTAAGCAAAGTTTTGTTTCTTTAATTTTTAAGAGCATGAAATGTTTCCATCATAGTGAATCTTTTTTTTAATACCTTTATTTTGTTGTTTAATCTTTTTTTTTCTTTTTTAAATGTGGTGCTGGGGTTTGAACCCAGTGCCTTATGTGTGCTAGGCAAGTGCTCTACCACTGAGGCACAATGCTAGCCCCATAAGTGAAATTTTAATGAAGGGAATACAACAAATTTAATATAATTGTTATTTATTACTTTGGAATAGTTTCAGGAGAAACAAGATAAGATAAAATGTGTTTACAGTGGTTTTCAGGAGCTTTTAACCAGCAGGGACTGTGTTAGAAATTTATAGGACTTACACATCTAGAAAATGTAAACAGATGTATGTGTATATATACATTATTAAAAAAGGGATCAAAGTTTTAACACATTCTCAAAGCCTTTGTGATTAAAAAGAGTGTTAACTATTGCTTTTATATGGTTAGTACTTATTAAATGTTCATTTGAACAGTTTTCATATGCTTTCTAGATATAGATCACTATGCTTATTGTTTTTTTTACGGAAATATTTTAAGTTGTTCCAGTGTGCTTAACTATAATGTCTTTGTTTACAGATTCCATGCAAGCATGTTTTTTGCTATGACTGTGCTATTTTACATGAAAAAAAAGGAGATAAGATGTGTCCAGGGTAAGATAAGGTCATTTTTACTTTTTTAATTGGTAAAGTTTGTGGTGTAATGATTTATAAAGGGTTAAAGGTCAGGGTGTGCTGTAAACCAGGCAAAAATATCAAATATGTAGACATGGCTAATCTTTGTGAGCCCAGAGTTGGCTTTAGCCTTTTCAAGATGATGGGCAGCCACCATCGGTCAACTTAAACTGACCCACATGATAAAATCTCTGTGTCATCAGAGAATTAGTATTCTAAACCAGAAGCAATTATTTTTTTGTTTGCTTTTCATAGTCTTAAAACAAGTTATGAAGAACTAAGTCCATTTTGGGATAGTCAGTCTTTCGTTTTCTTTTGGTTGTTCTTTCCCTCTTCCTCACTAGAGAGGTAGTGTATGGGTTAGTGATTAAGAACAGAGACTCCTGGTATTAGAATTCTTAAATTCAAATCCCTGTTCAGCCATTTATTGGCTATGTGACATAAGCTATTTTTTATCTATAAAATGGAACTGGTAATTATACTGACCTTCCTAGATTATTTTTAGGATTCATCAAAGACTGATTGATTGATAGAACGAAGCACTATGTATATATAAGCTATTCAAATATGATTATTATATAACTTCATTTAACAAATGAGGAAACGAATTAAACACAGTTGTGACATAGACCCAAACAAGTTATGAAGAGGTAGGTCCATTTTGGGATAGTTTAAAAGAATTGAGAATAAAGTAGGAATTTTTATATCAGTTTAGAACCCCTCATAAGGCAGGCTTGAGAAAGATTAATAGAAACTTCCTTGGAACAGCCTTAGGTGATTGATTGATTGATTGTAAGTTGTATATGGAGCACAACGTCTTTATTTATTTTTATTTTTATGTGGTTCTGCGGATTGAACCCAGTGCGTCACACATGCTAATCAAGCGCTCAACTGAGCTACAACTCCAGTCCCAGCCTTAGGCTTCTTAGATTCCTTATAACCTCTATTTGAAGCACTCCAAGGCTTGTAGTATTGGTTGCTAACAAAGCTATGAATGATTGCATGGGGTGATTGATTCCCTTTTTGGTGTAGGAAATTGGCATTACTGAGAAAGGAATGATTCATTGAGAACCCAATGACAACTGATTTTCTTGGCTTGAAGTAACATTATAAAATTTGTACTGGGGGTTAAAACAGTATTCTGTAAAATTGTAATTCAGGAGAGTTATGAAATTAGAAGCTTATATTGCTTGTTTTGGTTATTTTCTCTAATGCCTAATTTTTCAACCCCGTGTACATTAAGTTATGTAGTAAATTTAGATTGCTTCCTTTGGATAAAGGGTTTCATATGTGATAAAACAGTATGTAAAGGACATTAAGAAGTTTCCTCTTTTACATAAGGGTTCCAGTGATAATGTTTAACAGGAAATTTGGTTTTCAAGGCATTAAGTATAATTCTAGTAAGCACCTCACCTGTGCTGTCCTTAGCTATTTTAGGACATAAGCCTATCTGGATTAATATACCCAGATCAGGAAGTGAAGAAATGACAACCAGAGTTAATATAAACATTATATATTACTGCTGTTAGGCATCACCCAGAGAAAGTGTCTCACATCCTCTTAATGTAGGGATGTTTCTGAGTTTATAATGAAAAATTAGAAGTGTGTTATATAGTCACTCAAAGGAAGCATTTTAGTATCAACAGGAATTGCCAGCCTTATAGCAGGATGGAGAAATAGAACTCAACTTCAAGAGTATAGAGCCATTTAACCTAACTTATTGGCATACACCTGTAATCCCAGTGATTATGGGGGCTGAGGCAGGAGAATCACAAACTTGAGACCAGCTTCATCATCTTAGTATCTCAAAAAACTAGAAAGGTCTGGGGATGTAGCTCAGTGGGTAAAGTACCCCAGGTTCAACCCCTAGTACCAAAAAAATATATATTTAATAAGAATGACAGTTGACACACATAGTCATTGTTATCAGCTTGTATCTAAACAATATCACTTAACCGGTGATTAAATACTGTCACTTTCATTATTTGATCTTAAGAACACTCTTTTAAGGTGAAATAGATATAACAACATTGTGAGTTAGAGTACATAATTTAATTTCACTTGACAAATGAGGAAACATTCAAAATGGGTCAATGACTTCCCAATTCAAAAAAATTCCTTTCCTAAAGGGACCCTGATATTCAAGGTTTAAATTTAAGTTTTTTTATATTTAATGTTAAGAACACTAATGGTTAGGATGATCTTACCCGTTGTTATTGTCCTTGCAGCATCTCCCACTTACTGTTCTTCATTTAGTAGTATTTGCTCAGCAAATACTGCTCAGTAATTCAAGGTCTGAATTCCTTTGGTTGTGACAGGTCCTTGGCTTAGTTCTTTCTGGATGATTATTATTATTATTATTTTTACAAATGAATAAAAAGCCACTTATAAAATCAGTTCAAGGTGTTGGAAAGTATAAGGTCTCCTTTTAAGATATATTCTGGTAATACCACGAAGAGTTCGAGGTTGACAGAAATGATGATTAGAAACAAGGTAGGGGAGATTAAAGTTACTTAGAATAACTATAACTTTTAATGTACACTTTTGCTGTTTATGTAACATTTTAAAAGTAGGTATATTTTTAAAAATAAGTGCATTATTTTTACCTTTTTAGTAAATCAAATTTTTTCCCTTCTAATTTAGCTGTAGTGATCCTGTGCAGCGAATTGAACAGTGTACACGAGGTTCTCTCTTCATGTGTAGCATTGTTCAAGGGTGCAAGAGAACGTATTTGTCTCAGAGAGACTTACAGGCTCATATCAACCATCGCCATATGAGAGCTGGAAAACCTGTTACCCGTGCTTCACTTGAAAATGTTCATCCTCCTATTGCCCCACCACCAACCGACATCCCTGATCGTTTTATAATGCCACCAGACAAGCACCATATGAGTCATATTCCGCCAAAGCAGCACATCATGATGCCACCACCTCCTTTGCAACATGTGCCTCATGAGCACTATAATCAGCCACATGAGGATATTCGTGCTCCTCCAGCAGAATTGTCCATGGCTCCACCTCCACCTCGCTCGGTCAGTCAGGAAACCTTTCGCATTTCAACAAGAAAACACAGCAATTTAATAACTGTCCCTATTCAGGATGACTCAAATTCAGGTGCTAGAGAACCACCACCTCCTGCCCCAGCACCTGCTCACCATCATCCTGAATATCAGGGTCAACCAGTGGTATCGCACCCTCATCATATTATGCCTCCACAACAACATTATGCACCACCCCCACCTCCTCCACCACCAATAAGCCATCCAATGCCACATCCTCCCCAGGCTGCAGGTACTCCTCACTTGGTGTATAGCCAAGCTCCACCTCCACCAATGACCTCTGCTCCACCACCAATAACCCCTCCCCCTGGACATATTATTGCCCAGATGCCACCTTATATGAATCATCCTCCTCCAGGACCTCCCCCACCTCAACATGGTGGTCCACCTGTAACTGCTCCCCCTCCTCACCATTATAATCCAAATTCTTTACCCCAATTTACTGAAGATCAAGGAACTCTGAGCCCTCCATTTACACAACCAGGGGGAATGAGTCCTGGTATATGGCCTGCACCAAGAGGGCCACCTCCTCCTCCACGAATGCAGGGTCCGCCTTCTCAAACCCCACTTCCTGGACCACATCATCCAGATCAGACAAGATACAGACCTTATTACCAATGATAATAGTATTTTGAACTGAAGATATGATGAGGAAAAAAAACTTAACGTGTAGTCAATCTTTTAATTAAGCTTTGACTGTTTGGGGAAGGAAAAGTACCTCTGAGGTGACTATAAAAAACACGTAGGGTCTTGTCTCTAAAATGGTTTTAAATCTTGACCTTAGGATTGATTTCAAGTACTATGCTATAGTGCAGATGAGTTGCTCAGTTGAGCACAGCTATATTTTAACAACTTTGTTCCCTAGGTGGTAAATTGACCCAGAAGAGACCATTTGTAAGAAAAAAATTTTTTTTGAAAAAAAAATTTTCATTGTTCCACTTTCAAAAGTATTGCTTTTGTTAAACCCAATGTTTAGTTTTTCTTGTGATACATTTTTGTTAACCTGTGTAAAAGGATTAAATTTCAATATGGTTGTAAAAATGCTATTTTTATGTGAATTTAAGTGCAGCCACATACTGTTTTATAAAACCATATGTTTTACCACTAATTTCCCAAAGTTACAATAAAATCCTAGAAGTAAAAATTTGCTAGAATTTGCTATAAGGGCAGACTGTTAAATGATAGAGAATTATTTCACATTTTAGGCACTGAAATTTTGCGATATCGTAAGTATGTAATACACTTCACTTGGATGCCTTTTTATGTTTAGGCAGCCTCAGGAGCACCAAAATACATTGGAATTCCAATACTAAGATATATTTATGTTTGTAATATTAAAAAATATTCTAATTATTTGAAAAGATATGGCCAAAGGATTCAACACTGTAGGCTCCAAGCTGGTGGGGGGATACTGTTACTTATTAATGCTTTTTTAGTGAATGGTTGGAATCACATGATGCACCACACTTATTAATCTTAAGTAACATTATTTTATAGAACTGTTTAAATGGTGTTATTTAGATGAAGTGTGTTCTACTCTGTTCATTGTCTTAAGCTAAATATTTAGGGCTAAATAGACTTTATATAAATCCTCGTTTCATGGTAGCTTAATTCTGTGCTTATGTGGATTCTCGTTTATTGGATTTTAAACTACAATTTGAATGTTGTAGAGGAATTTAAATAATGTATTAATGAAGGATGTTTTCTTGTAATCACAAACTAGCATTTGCTCAGGTTTCATTGCTGTGTAATAAGGGGTTTTCCTCTAACTTGAAATTTAAAAACTATTTCCTTTCCCTTTGGTTGGTAAAACAGTCTAAACTTGGAATATTTTAGCATGGAGTCAACAGTAAAGACTACCAGATAATTTTGTATTGGAGAAGAGAAAAGTAATGACTAAATTGTGAATTTCAGTGCTTTATAAGGTGCCTTTAGAGTCAGCTTTTGCATTATAGGGGCTTGTTACAGTCCAGCTGAGATGACCACTTACAGTTTATACAGATCTCATATGTATAAATCAATCTTCTTAGGATATTATTGTATATCCTTTGAATAAACCCTGTGAAGTTTTTCCTCCCCCCCAAAATGGTGCATAACATAAACATGATGTGTAGAATGCAGATATCATTTATTAGATAGTTTGTATAGTATATAAATTTAGAACATTTCTTTTTGACAAAGGATAAACTGATTGCTAATTTACCATTTGATTCCGTCAGGAATAGGCAAAACACAATTCTTGGATAATCAGATGCAAAATCATTTTTGAACTTAGAGCAGAATTTAGAAATAATACAAATGGCCATTTCAACTTTGGCTGAAAATAAGTAATACACTTTTTTCTTAAGCAAGTGGTTTTTCACACTTAGCAGTTTGAAAGTCTAGTTTGTTAATGCACTATTTCTAGTGAGAAATTCTTGTTTTTAGAAGCATGGGAGTGAAATAGTGTGAAATGGTGGTGAGTGCTTCTATCATATTACTGTAGGTACTTGGACTGGTGCAAACTTGATTCCTTTTCATGCCCCTGTTTAGGAGCTGTTAAAATATTACTGTTTAAATCCCAACCGTTCTTTGTTTCTTATAATTAGAAAAATAGCCAAATTCACTTTAGAGCTTTTCAACTATTTATGAAAAGCTCTCCTGCGCTTATTGAAATTCACTAGCATTGAATGTGGCAAGAAACCACTTTGTGTTTTGGATAAAAAAAAATATTATCATGGTGAAATTCCACATTAATAATTCTTATAGGCTTTTAAAAATGATTTATTTTTCAGTTATGTTTAATAAATATGCAGGGAGGCAGATCAGATGAATGTCTTGTAGCGGACAAAAATTTTAAATGGTGTTAGACTTGAATTCATCAGTTCATTGTTTGAATGAGGGTGGGTGGGTAGAAGGAAAACAAAATTACTGTTAGTGTTTCTTTTCTTAAGGAAAAAGATGTGAATCCCAGCCTTATTTCAGGGAAGCCTTTGAAGCTATGATGGACATAAGTCTAAATGTATGTATGTTTCATTATATTGCTCTTAAGACTACTGAGGTGGCAGTTTAATTCTTAAAAACAATAAAATGGAAGCATAAATACTATTTTGCCTAGATGAGTTTTTACCTAATGATGACATGCTTGGGAGAATACAAAATTTTCGATGTTTATGTTATAACTTTCCACAGCAAAATTAGGTTCACTTTTTTAAAGATTAAAACCAACAAATTGTTATATTTCTTTGGTGCATGTTTGTACAGTATAGTATTTGGGGAACAATCTGTTGCAAAGACCTTAAGAAACTATCCATTTTATTCAAAATTGTGTAATTACTAATCATATCTAGCCAAAATATAAGTAGAAAAGAGATTTGAGCCTAATTTAAAAACTCAAAAATAAGTGGCTATTTATGAAATATATAGAACTGCTTTAAAGTTTTGTTCTGAATGATATTCTGGGAGAGTATCTTTTTGAAAAAGACCTACACTGCTGTCTTTCATGAATTTTTAAAAATAGTCTTATAAGTACATGAAAAAACACAAATATCTAAAAAATATACTTCTCAGATTAGCCATCAAATCAGTAGATCAATGTTAAATGAAATTTGACATAATCATATTCAAACATTATAGCCGGATTGAAGGGAATTTACTTTTTGTAAGTAATTTGTCTGTATTGTATGAGTATGGCCTAGAAACCAAGCAGAATTTACTTACTACAATAAATGCACACTCTAGTAAAGCAGTGTTTAGATGATACACTAAGCTGAAAGAGGAATGGGAATTATGCCAGATGAAATGTTAGGTAGTACTACTAATAAGAATTTTCTTGGCTTTTCAAACACCTTGTTTTGATTCATGCACCTTGGATTTTCCATCGTCGAAAAATACTCTAAGGGTGATTGCTTAAAATAACACTTGTATTAAAGCTTAATTTCCCCATCTTTAAAAATTATGAATTTTTAGGCTTTACAAAAATCATAGTATTGAAAAGTAAGTAATGGGTTTGGTTCTCACATTGTTCAGGATCATCTTTTTAAAAAATAACTCATTACAAAATATTTTCTATGACCCAAGAATATCTATCATTTCTATTTTAAGTAGTTGTAAGCCCTGTCATATTGAATTCAAGCCCATTTTTGTTGGGGACCACAAATCAAGTCAAGATGGCGCCTGGCAGTTTGCCAGGAGGAGTGGTTTGTGAGGCAACGCCACTGAGCCATTAAGTTGGTGGAGATTCCTTATTGGCTGATTGCTGTAACTGGATGATGCTAATTGAGTCAAGCTGTGTGTAATCAGGTATTTGTACCTCTGCTGTTTTGTAATAAAGTGGCTCCTGCTACCTTGGGTGCCCGCTACCTTGAGTTCCCGCTCAGTTCCTGCTGAGTTTCCCCGCAATAAAGCAGTTCCCATTTCAACCTTCAAGTCGCTTTTCACCACCTGGTTATTGTGCCCAGCTGGACTGCGGCACATTTTCTGTTAAATTGTCCTTTTGCCTTCAGATTGGAAATTTCCTGCTCCATTTTACTTTCTTCCTTGTTTAAAATCTTTTATTTTAAAAAAAATTTTAGTCACTTTCAGTTACACAGGTATGATATCCTGTGGGGAAACAAACTAATATTACAAATAAAGGCAGAGATACCTTCAATCACTTGCCCAGTGAGCTTCTGATAAGTCTTGTTAAAACTGACTTGTATGACTAATCATTTTTTAGATCTGACATTTAAATAGACATGCTCAGTTGGTAAGCATCTTAATCCATGCCAAATGTAAATTTCATAACCTCTATTCAATAATTATATACTGAGTTCCTATTGTGGAATATGAAGATTCATTCAAATATTTATGCACTAGACATAGTGCTAAGTAAGCACTAAGTAAAGTTTTAAACTTGTAACACAAGTGTTATTTTAAGCATTATCAAAGTATTTTTCAGTGATGGAAAGGCCTTAATAAAGAATTTGACCCTGCTCCAGATAGGTGGGATGCACAATCTTTAAAAGAGACAAAGTGATTTATAAACATTAGATTGTAGACCATGTGGTAAAATCTTATGCAAAAAAGAAAAAGGGTAATTGGACTAGGTGTTTGTGATTTTAAGTAAAATGGACTAGGTAGAACTCATTGAAAAAGTGACATTTGATGAAAAATATTGAGTGAAAGTCAGATAATGTAGGTCAGAGTTTGTTTTTTTGTTTTTTTTTTTTTAGAGAGAGAGAGAGAATTTTTTTAATATTTATTTTTTAGTTCTCGGCCGACACAACATCTTTGTTGGTATGTGGTGCTGAGGATCGAACCCGGGCCGCACGCATGCCAGGCGAGCGCGCTACCGCTTGAGCCACATCCCCAGCCCCGTAGGTCAGAGTTTTTGAAGCATAGTGCGCAGTTTGTAAAGGCCTGAAATGAGATTGCACCTTGCATATTTGAGGAGAAGCAAGGAGTCTGGAGTAGAATAAATGAGATACTAGGAGGTCAAAGACTGGGGTTTTAGGCCAGTGGTAGAGCACTGTCTTAGCATGTACAAGAAAGACCTTGAGTTTAATAGCCAGTTTTATGTGTGTGTGGGGGGGCGGGGGGAGTCAGAGGTAATAATGGTATAGGGAAATAATAGGCCTTGTAGGCTTTGACTCTGCTCCGATAGATTTGAGAAGCCATTGTAGCCTCCTGACTAAAAGAGTGGAGAATCTGGCAGAGACCAGTCAGAAGGGTGTTCTAATACTTTACACAAGAGATGATGGTGGTAGCATTGTCGGCATTAAGAACTGGGTGACTTGTGGAAGGATACATATATGTATATAAATAAACATGCATAAAAATTAAGCACCTAATAGGTATTAGATGTGGATATGTAGTAATGAACAAAAAAGATACAGTCCCTGCCCCTTAGGGGCTCACAATTTAACTTGTCTTGGAATTGTCCTTGATAGTCATCCCTAAGATTTTCTCATAGTGGAAGGATTTTTTTTTTTTTTACCTTAAAAAATGTCCTGCTTTGAAATAGATTAATTTTTAGACAGGTCTGAATTTCCTTTGGGAAGTAATATTTCCTAATTAAAAATCTGGGCTCTGAAGTTGGATTTCTGGACAGGTTTCTGCAACTATATACCTTAGACTAGTTTTTGTATCCTTGTTGAGCCTTGTTTTACTTTGTTACAAAGTCAGCATAATCATAGTGTCTACCTGTAAGGGTTATTTTGAGAATTAATTGATTGTATGTTTACATAGTCAATAGGATTCCTGACAGATTTGTCAGCCTGAGCAGCCTGAAGAGTGGAGTTGTAAAATCACAGAGTCAGAAAATATGCTGGTAGAACACAATAAGGGGAGCAGATCAGTTTCAACAAGGTGAAATTCAGGAGGAAGTACCAAAAAAAGTGAATTAATTATTCCTCTTCTATTCTTGTTCATACAGTGAATAGTCAGACTTTTGTTTAAAGCATTTTATTTATGTTTCTAAGTGGCAACTTATTACAAATATTTATCAAATGTTTAATTATAAGACAAACTGCTCAACATGTATAGCTTCAAACTTTTTAATTTCAATAATGTATTTGTGTCTCCTCAAGGTGGTTCTGTCTCCCAATTGTATTTTCTCCTTCAATCTTCCTCTAGTTTACATAATTTTATTTCTATCTTGCATCATGATCTCCTATCCTCATCCTAAATCAGGGATCAGATTTCTGTACTAGTAAATAAATTCTACTGCTTACTAAGTAGAGGCCCAGGACCACATGTTCCCACTACTCAAAGCATATCCACCTTAGAGACCTAGAAGAAAAGAAACATTTCAGGATATAAAGGTTGAATGTATGGTGATATGGGCCTGACAACTGAAGCACCTGTGCCTGTTCCCTGTGATCTTGGTTGGCAAGAATGTGGAGGGCATCAGTTCCTGGGAAGATACTGTAGCCTTCAGCCACAGCCCTATATAAAGCGTTTGTCCCCTGCTCAAGTCAAATGATCACTTAAATAGACTCCTGTTTTCAATTTCTAGTCTATACCTTATATCAAGGAAAAGATCTTATTCTGAGGTTTGTAGGGCACACATACATGTGTATATATTTTTTTCCCATAAAATCCACAAGGTGCATAAAACTATGAGATGTTCATGATTCAAACTGTTTAAGAAACACTGTAAAGAGTACTGATATTATAGTTTGATTTAAGATCAGCTATGTAAATAACCTTTATTATGCTTTTCTCTATTTGGGCTTACATCCAGTAAACAAACCCTCTCAGTATTAAGACACTGTTAACAAAGGATGAAAGAGTATTTTGACAATAAATGTTGAAAGATAAATCTAAAACAATTGAGACAGCTTTTCCCATTGACAAGATGTTTGGAACAATGCCAGTGAGAAAGAAGCCTGGGTACTGAATCTCATTCTCCAGTGGAATTGAGCTCGAAAGATGTTATTCTGCCCTTTCAGTTGCAATGACCAGCAGTGAAAAAAGAAAAGAGTCATCCCTTTTCCTACCACTTGTTTTCTTCCCATTGAGGCCAGGAAAAATTGGCTATCTATCCATCATGGTCTCTCTTTTTACCTTGCTTTGTCATTTTATAGCCCACATTAGCCTATACATTTTTCATAGTAAGAAGGGGAAAATAAGGATTTGCCTCAAAAGCTAATTATAGTTACACATATGACATTAGGAGAATTGTGTCAATCTGGATAGTAGGTTAGATATTTTAAAAAGCTGGAGGAGCAGTCATAAAATCTGTGCAGAGAAGTCTCATCACTGGGGTTTTGTTAAAAGATTCTCATGTAGCAGTTTTCTATTCAGACCACTATAAAAAGGACCCACAGCAAGCATGTATCAGAAAGCTTATAACAAATTTAATAAAACAACACATTTGCTGTACAACTGAATTTTTTAAAATGGAGAAATATTAGCATGACCTGTATAAATTATGAGATTCAAAGCAGTGGTATAAAGACACTGCAAAGCATTGTGAAAGTTCTGACTTGAATGGAAATCTGACAGTGCTACAAAAATACATATATACAAAATAATTTTCCTTTGATAAATCTACAGGTATAAAATTAAAGAGTATTTACATAATTTTATATAGATATGTGAAAAATATACCATGCTAGAACAAT